CTGGGGGGTTGAGAGTGGGGAGTGCTGACCTGCCTGTCAAACACTGAATATACAAGAAAAAAATAAGTAAAAAAATAAAAATGGTAGGAAAGCAGCAGTGATGGAAAGCTTCCTCTTCAAACACAAACTCTTCTCCTCGAACTCCCCCTGCGATGCACAAATGTGTCTGAGCTGATTACCACTGCAAACTCATTTTCATCCCTGTTAGAACAACTAATTTCCATTTCCAGCACATTATCACTGAGTGCATGCCAGAGGTGGCTTTAATGTCTGCAGTGCTCTTTGCAATAATGACCTCTAGTGGTTTCCAGTGAAGGCAAACGAGACTCGGGCTGAACCTGTTTGGAGAGATGTCTGGATGATGCAAAGGAAGTCCCACTCATGCTCTTGCTCTTTGTTTTTTTTCCATTTGCAAAAAAGGGAAATATCATCATCTATGCATGTACCCCCCCCCCGGTCATCATCCTGCCAGTGACATCAGGCTTACACTTAGAGACAGAAGGCAATCTTTTTATTTACAGGGTTGCAGTTGTAGCCAAGACAGACAGACACAGAAGTAAACAGGATGAGACGCCTGCAGGGGGAGATCAGTTGTTACAACCACCCACTTAGACCCGCTGATTCCTCTGATGAAGCCCCCCCCCATTTAAAAAGCTGCTTATACACTCGACTAAACTAAACCAGCTCATTTGGAAGAGGTTTTTGATTGACACCCTTTCATTTTCCCTTTTCATTTTCTTCATTGTACTCTCGTCAAAGTGCCTAAAAGACTAAAAGGGGAGGAGGACCAGTTCTGCATTTAAATCAAACCAGTATGTGTTCTGGCACCATTTCCAATAATGGGCACTGATGGATGTCTGACCTACTTTGAACATTTTATGCCCTGTAAAACCTGACCCCAGCGGACAGAGAAAGCAACCATTAGTGCCCCTGCTGGTGGATTACAACTACTGATATTAATAATAACATTTATACATACGTAGTGCTTTTTTTTTTTTCCCCCAGTGCCAAATGCAAATTAATTTTTCACAAATGTTAACTGCCTGGAAGTGAATGACAGTTTTGAATGGGAACCTGTATAATGTTATGGGATGAATATAGTATTACAGCTTCCAATTATTTTCATTGCAGAAAAGCCTCACCTACGTGCTGCAGCACAATCAGCAGAAGGATCAAATCATGAATTGATCAGTCCTTATTCTCTGTGGTGCCGTCGCAATGCGAGAAGCAGAGAAATTACTGAAAGAAGAATCTGTTTTTTGCCAAAGCAGCTGCCAAATAAAAGGTCAAATCCGACTGGCAGTTATCATGTTCGGCCCCCTTTGTCCTGTTTTCTGCTACATTGCTGAAGGTTAAGCTCAACTGCAGCAGCTCCTGTATTTGTCGTTTTCACGTTGTCGGTTTATTTGACGTGATATTCACCCTGACAGTTTTTGCGCAGTGGTGCGCGTCCCGTACGGTGATGAAAACAGCTGCTTGATGGATCGGGAAACGACATAGATGAGAGTGAAACTTGAGAAAACAGCACAAGTGATTATTCAGCTTTCATTTGACCTTTAAGGATCCTTCCTCCTCTAGTTTTGCAGGTGTTGTTTTGACTTGTGTGCTCACAGTGTTTGAGTGGAGGTGACTCGACCTCGAGGAATCTGTTTTATCTCATGTTGTTTCCAATCAGCACTGGGCCTAATGCAATGCCACTTGGTATGCATGTTTCTAATTACAGGTATGCAACTTTGAGTCTTTGCCCATTCAAGCAGACAGGCCTCTTCTTTCTGACCATTTCTAGGCGATACATTTATTTCTCCAAGCCTAACGTCGGTTAAAAGTTAAATGAATGATGGATCCATGCTTCCACGTTATTTATGACAAATTCTGACTACCATCTGAATGACGCAGCAGAAATATAGACTCATCAGAGCAGACAAGCTTTTTCCAGTCTTGATGAGCCCCTGTTTTTTACAGGCGTGTCACCTGGTGTGGTCTTCTGCTTACTGTAAACCGTATCAGCTTTAATGTTGTGTCATGTCTTCAGAGATGCTCTCCTGCATGTCTCGGTTGTAATGACTCACTGTTCCCTTCCTATCAGCTCAGAGCAGTCTGGCCATTCTCCTCTGACCTCTGGCATCGACAACATGTTTCCCCCCAAAGAACTGCCAGTCAAGGAATGTTGTCTCTCTTTGGGATCATTCTCTGTAAACCCCAGAGATGGTTTTACGGGAAAATCCAATAGATGAGGAGTTGAAATATTCAGACCAGTCTGTTTGGCCATTACCCTCTCAGGCTCAAATTAAACTTTTTGTTGCTAATGCACAACCAAGTCCTGCAGTGGTACTTCTGAGTAAAGAAAAATCATAAAATATGTATGTGGGGTAATCAGGTTGTTAGTTTTTAACTGTTGCAAATCGGCAACGCCTGCCTTGAGAGGGTTAATCATGAGACATTCAAAGTTAAATCACCTTTCTTCCCCATTCTGAAGCTCAGTTTGAACTTCAGCAGGATGTCTTGACCATGACTTCATTCTTAAATGCATTAAGCTGCTGTCACATTTTTGTCTGATTAGATATTTGTGTTAACAAACAGTGAAGTGGCCGGTGAGTGTAAATTTTGTGTCATATCAGCACAAATCAAATGACTAAATCAAATCTGTCCCTGATGCAGAAATGGTCGTGGATACTGAATGACACTAATGGCAGTCCTGGATTACGACATTGTGTCTGCTCCACTGTGAGAAGCAACGGCTTGATTTGTGAGCTATTTCGCAACTCTGCGCGTCTAAACATTGCAATATCATTAGCAACGTAACATAACGTCAGACTTTAGGGTAAAATCCCAAACTTCATAAACCCCGACGTAAACGTGTTAAGCATCAGTTCACAGACCAAACAAACACTCGTTCTGTCTGCTGGTTACTAATGTGGTTACTAATGTGGTTACTAATGTGGTTACAGTAACAGAGGTGTCAGGTAGAGACGAAGCTTCTTGTTGACACAGTCAGTGAAGCTGATTCACTTCTTTATATCTTACCTCTTTACCAGAAAATGACTCACCGGATCACTGAAGGAGATTTCTATGATTCAGCATGACTCTTCTAAAGTGAGTAGCATCTGTCAGCACATTCCGGTGCTCCTAACCTCACTCCAACATTTCCCTCCTGTTGCCAACAAAAAACAAAACAAAATACCAAGACACCGTTGCATCTAAAAATTGAAGATTGAGAAGCAGCTCTGCAGCACGGAAAATGCACCTCACATCTGTTTTTCTTCCAGATAATCTTCCACTTTATTCAAGTAAAATCCAAAATCTGTTTGGAGAGGCGCTGCGTCTCCCTGGGACGTGCTGTACAGAGCTTCAAAATGCGCTCTGCAAAACGCGGGAGAGTCATATATCAGGAGCCTCAAAATATTCACATTAGCAAATGATTAGCAGAGAACAGAACAGTCTGTGCATCATCTAGGTCCCAATTGAGCCTTTATGTAGTTAGTTATTAAGTCATTTCCTCAGAGCTGGAGATCATAAACGTTTATTGAAAAAACAAATTTCATGTAAATGCCTGATTGTAACACCGCAGCTAAAGAATACTTTTTACAGAAAATAGCGCTGAATTGTTTTGGATCAGCTGCAGGTGTAAACGCAGGTATAAAAGCAAAATCTTGACTTTATTTTATTGTGTTTTAGGGTTTTTTTTCTTCTTCTAATAGTTCACAGATTCAGCAGATCAGATGCTCAGTGTTAAAATAAATTAAAATTAAGTATAAAAATGAATTTGCTTGGGAAAAAAACCCCTCGAATTTTCAAAGTGAAGACTTCAAACCATGTAAATTCATTCTGATTGTTTAGATTTAGAATTTTGCAAATCTAATTCAAATATCATTTTTTATTAGTTGTTGAAACTTTACTCGCCTTTAATACGGATGTTTTATACTTCCATACAAGATCTTGGAAGTCTCTTGAAGAGGAAAAGACATAAAGTGTGACTTTATGTCTTTTATTGGCATTATAGATCTGTAGCCTTTTCATTTTAAACATCAAAGGACTCAGAAGTGTTTATACTTGACCACGGGGGGCTGTACACACCCTTATTTCATTTTCTTCTTCTTAGAACTTTACTGGATTCGGCACTCGTTCACGGGCTAAATTTTGATTTCATCAAAAATTCAAAAACATTTTCAGGGTTTGAAAAAGTAGTGTACTTTGAAATAAATCGAGCCGTGTGCATGTTGAAATAAGATACTAATGTATTTTTCATGTTCTTCTTCTGTTCTGCAGCCATCGCAGAAACGGTGTGAACTGTCTGTTACTGGTTTCAAAGTTTCTTGTGTTCTGCATTTGCTTTGAGCACAGAACGTCTCTTTCTATTTTAAACAGGCTGCTGCCAGCTCGTGTTTTTTTGGGTTTCATCTCAAAGCGGCCCATTCATGCAGATATTTCCCTCCCAGTCTGACAGTGACAGCAATGTGTGTCATAAAAGCAAACATCTTGAGGCCATTTGAGCCACTCAAACGAGCAGTCTGTTGTGTTTCCAAATTACAGATGTTAGATGACTTCGATGCCGCGCTCTGTGGTGTAAGTTGTGCAGTCAAGTTGGAATAAGAAAGACGCCATGCCAAGGGCGGTGGAACAACTCCATGGCAGCAGCCGGAGCAAAAGGGAATTATAACATTGCTGCTAGAAACGCAGATGGAGGCCTGAACATGAGATAAACTGAGGGGGGGGGATTAAAATTTTGGACTTTCTTCTCATCATGGCAGAGAGAAAAAAAAAGCCTCAAGCTTCTCATCAGCCCGATGCTGCGTGACGGGAAGTCTCAGATGGGATGAGACAGCCCTCGCAAAATCCATATCCCTCTGAAAAAGCGATTGTGTGACAGCTGGAAAAAACATCATCGAACACTGGTGCTCGTCCAGGGCGCTGACATAACTTCCGTCAATAAGACAGATGGAAAAGCACACCCATCCTACCAAGTAAAAGATGATACAAAATGACACGTTTCGACACAGCGGTGGTGACTAAGGCGACGTTTTACTTAATTTTAATAGTCAGGCTCGAGCAAAAGTGGTCAATCAAACACATTTAACGTCCAGAGGCGAAAAAAGAACACAATTGTAATAAATACAGTTTAAGTCAGTTTCCAACAATTGATCCATTCACGCTTTAATTACTTCCATTACACGAGGAGCTCTCACAGAGAGTTTCAATGAAAAGATTTCATTACAGCTTGCTTTGATGTCTACAACAGTAAGTGACAGCATCTTTTTCCTTTCCTGGGGGAGCCTTCCTCAGCCCTCATAGAGCAGAGGAGGCGGTACAGCCCAGAGAGATCGCCATCCCATCACAGAGCTCAACAGCAAACAAACCCTAATTATATTATATAAAAATTATAGTGCCATTTGAACCTTTGCTACCATCTCTTATGCCTTCTGCTGTACTCTTTCAAACAGAATTTGTGCTTGTTGTCATTTTACTTGTGCTTTATGCTATTAACACTTTAATACACGTCACTATTTTGTAAACACTACTCCAAGAAACCTCTAATTTGCACAGAAGATTAGGAAAGATACACTTCTGTCAAGTAATAAAGTCTTGGAGCACCATAGTGGCGCTTTTAAAACTTTTATCATGTAAGCTTCAAATATTTTTACCCCACTATTAGCAGTTACACACTGTGCTGCTCAGCTAAGCAAGTTGAAAGCAGGGACCACATGCTGGGATGTTCCCTGATGTTTGTCTTCAGGGTTTCATTTCTGGGAAAAAAAAATATAATTTGCAAGTAATGAATTCTGTGAGTAATTTTATGCATTTGTTGTGGATGTGGGACTTTCTCGCACCGAGGGGTTTTCAGGATGGAGGCATCAGGCGATGAGCATAACCAGTTGGATGTATTCATGTGAAATGAATACATCGCTGCTTCCTCTTGTTTTGAGAAAGCCTCGTGGTGCAGGAAACCTCAGATGTTATCGTGTTTTCATAGCTAACTGCAATAATGCAGAAGAGTCTCAGAGCACAGACTTCTCTCGACGAGTGTCCAGTCTTGCGGTGCTTCCTGTTCACCTCGTCTCAGCTGTGTTGTGCATGGAGATGGTGGCCTCCTGTTTCCTTTGCCTCTTGTGCCTCCACAGCAGGACGGCCAGCAAGAGGAGCAGCAGGAAGCCCAGGGCTCCCCCGATGAGCCCTGCTGTCAAAGGCAGGCTGTTATCTCTGGGATGGTACATCATACAAGATCCTTCGCTGGCTCCGGCATCATTCACGGCCACCACGCAAACTTCTGCTATGTTGCCAACTTCGCCCACTCCTCCGCTTCTCCGGTCCTCCTCAAACTTCTGCCTCTCCTGCCCTCCGACAGTCACAACATAGGCTGTGACGAGTGAATAAGGTGTGCACCACTGAAGTACAACTTCGGACCCGTTCCAGGATACTGAGCTTAGTTTGGGCGCTTCTGGGGGCACATTATTTAAAGTGAACCCCGGACACAAGCAGTTAGAGGAGGCTGCAAGCTCAAAACAGGAGATCTGGCCTTCAAGACAGGGATCATAGTCACACTGCTTAAGGGTCCCTCTACTTGGAATCAACGTCTTGGATGATCTAGTGGTTGTATCTTCATATCGACTGTAATCCTCATCGTCAACAAGAGAATCCTTGTCTGAGTGTGCGTATGGGCCGTGAATTCCCATGGGATGCATCCCTTCTGAGCTCATAGGCAGGGGGCAGTAACCTCTGATGAAAAGCAGGCATATGATCCCGAGTGGGAAAGTAAGGTCCCTCATGGCAGCCGTTGTACTGGAAAACATAAAAAAAGTAGAATTCCATCAGAATATTTTAGAATCTGTTTTTAAGCCCCTCGGGCTTCTAACTGTGTGTACATTTAGTAAGTCGGTTGCTTTGTCTCTTGTATGAAAGAGCCAGAATGAGAACATATTTCCCCCTGATTCTGTGTCTTTTGGAGATGATCTACCTGCAGAGGCAAAGGACCGTTTCGAATGAATCGACTGACTTGAATAAAGCGCTATTTTCAGTGGGAAAATAAATCGGTCAAAATCCAAACTTTTTCCCAGCCCACATAGCTTTCAAATAGGCAAAATGACAAAATGCCGACACCTAAGTAGCTGAAATTGAGTGCTCTGCAAAGTGTTTATAAATGATGTCTAGTGTTGTATATCAAACTGCAAGTAATAGTCCTCATTTGTTAAGACTTGGAGGTTCCACACTCCACTTTAGCATTCCACTGGCCTATTGCACAAGAGGGTTCACATGCCTGCACGCCAGGAATCAGCGCAGGCTTGTCAGCTGTATCTAGTTACAGGAAAGCTGCTGCTTCTTGAGAATCCACACGAGCGTACCTGAAATATGCTGTGTGGTGAACTTGCATAGCAACCTAACAATGGGGCCATTCAAAAATCTCAGTGCGGTGAACGGAGTAGGAGCCCCCATTGAATACTAATCTACTTTATGCAAGCTGTTTTGGCAACTTGCAGCTTAACGCTACTCACTGAAACTGTGTAATAAAAAGATATCCATTTACCTGTTTCTCGGAGAAGTTTGAAAAGGCTATCAGACAACCGACGAGCTTCTTTCTCCTCGCCTCTCTTCCAGTTGCTCTCTCCGGTGTGGTCTCTCCCTCTTTTTATATGTTTTCCTTCTGCCCAACAATCGCCTCCTTCTTTCTGTCCTCCCTTATTCCTTATGCTTTGGCTTCTGCACCAGCTCCACCTCCCTCTTTGCCAAATTGTTTAGTGATGTGTCTGTGAGTGAGCAGCTGTGCACGCCATTTAGTGGAGAAATACTATAGTCTGCTATTAGTTACATCACTACTGGTTAATTTGGTGACCACATTTTTATTTTTGTCTCATTCTTTCACAACAAGCACATTATTCAGAGCATGTCTCATTTGTTAATGAAGGCTCGTTTCCCTTTTAGGGGAGAAGGGATTTACAGAGGACTGGAAAGCTCTAGCTTTGATTCATCTAAATGTTTTTCATCATTGGCATACACGTAGTGGCTACACGTAGACTGTGACTTCCATTGAAACAGCTCCAGAGTCAAATAGAGGAAACTGTTTAGCAGCTGTTCACCGAATTACTAATAACGAAACAGACCGGACCTGTGCTGGGAATCATTTGTAACGTATGTACTTATTTCTCCTTGAAGAAAAAAATGAAAGCATAAAATAAATTGAGTAGAAAACGTGGTGGATGTCAAAAGCCAGTTGTATGAGATTATTTTTTTTGTTACCTGTTAAAAACTTCACGTGGCTTTAAACCCAACTGTTCTCTCATATCTCTGCCCTGCTTTTGAGCTAAAGTCACAGAAAAACACAAAGCACACCGTCCTGTACCTGAGGGATACCTACAGCTCAGATAAAGTCTGTTGAAAACTGATGCGCTGAATGAGTCACAATCCCGCTCAAATACCCAAATACATCGTTCCTGCCGTTATTCAGCAGACACCAGATGGATGAATTAAAAGTTTTATTTCCTATATCATTATCAGGTGCGGTATAAGTGTTTGTCGCTTCTCGCTTCTATCTGTGGATGCGTGAACATGTTTTTGGATATATAGGAGCGCGTGTGGGTGTGAAGGGGGCACGTATATATATCTGCATCCAGGATGCTTCTGAGTAATGCTCTGTTTATATTGTGCAGCGTGTGTTGTTATTATATCTGAGTTCAATACTGCGAAGCCTGCGTCAGTTTTCCTCCATACTTCATTTCACACACTGTAACAAATTTCTATGAAAATACAGGAAACTGTTCACTTATTGTATAATAAAGTACGTTAACTTTATGTTTTGGGGTTTGTTTTTTGTTTTACTTTGTTGGGCCCAGGAGCTCGTTAGTGTGTAAATGTTTACGTTCAAGTAATTAATAAATGGGTATAGTCTAAGTCATGGTTTGCATTTTGATTGCTGTGACTGTGCAGTCTGGCTTCCGGTGTTTGAGTGGGTCAAATCAGTGTTAAACAAAAAACTGACCTCTCTGGCTTGGACGGGGTTCATCACACCCAGACAACATTCATCTTCAGGGTGGTTGCACACTCTTGACGCTGACTTTTTATTTCTGTGTAATACAAATACTGAATCATGTGACGGCATCACATCATGTGACTCAGTGTGATGGCAGCTAAAGAGCTGATAGTATTATACTGTTAAGTTATATCCTCTATAACAAAGTAAGGGGGATTTTATTCACAATAAGTCAATAAAACATTTAAGACACAAACTGTCTTTAGAATTTAATGAAAGCAGAGAGGGTGTGACAGGCAATATGACAAATGTAAAGTCCCTGAGTAAGAAACGTTTCCCCGAAGTGACACAAATCCCAGCAGATGGTAACTGTTAAATGGGTTGTTGCATAATCCTGAAATGGTCTACCCTTTTTTATTTGCCACAGATCACATCAGTTTTTCCTTTTAAAAAACACTGCCTGCGGCTGGGGATAGGTCTGCTTTCCTCATCAGAAATGACTCTATAAGGAATTGATTATTCTTATATATGAAACTAAAGCAGCACAAACAAATACTCCAAGGTCCTGTTATATCTGGAACAGATCTCCACAGGAGATCTTGGTATGGTTAATAATGTTGCTTGCCTTCTTTCCACATGTGGTCACGTAAACCATTTACAGTTTTTTCCACGGCCTACAGGAAAAGAAAACAGTAAGTGGAAATTGTCCCGATAGTTCACACAATCTTTGTGAACAACCAGTATTAATATAAAAAGGAACATATGCTGAAGTCCTGAGGGTGTTCGTGTCTGAGAGGAGCCGGTCCGATTGTAAAGCAACGTCCAGGTTCTTATCTGGCTCATTCATCAGCCTGTGTCTCTAAAAAATTTTTTTAGAGGGAACAGACAAAAAATCTTGATTACAGCAGATTTGTTCTGTGTGGGCCGTAACTGCAATGGGTGGATTTGACATTAATTAGTGTGCATGATGGATTGCACTGACATCTGCAAAACATAAAGTTCATGGTGCTTTTGGCCAGTTTCCTCAGCTTTAGTGGACCTTTAGTGGTTCTGTGAAGCTTCGCCTGGAGCAGACTGCAGATGTTTTCTCCACAGGGTCAGCCTGACCAAGAGGTCGGTGACCTGGGCGTACTTCACTGTGAGCTCTACTTGTATCTATTATTTTTTTCTCCTCATCAAATGGCTGCTGTACTGCCAGGAATTGTGGAGCCAATTTCACCCTGAAACATGGGATTAAGGCTGTAAATCAGGATACACTTGTCCATTACACTTTAACAAACACTTTTCGCTCTAGTTGCTCCAGAAACCACCAGGCAGACTAAAAGTTTCATTAAATGGTAAATGGCCTGTATTTGTATAGCGCTTTACTGGTCCCTAAGGACCCCAAAGCGCTTTACACATCCAGTCATCCACACACAGGTGATGGCAAGCTACACTGTAGCCACAGCTGCCCTGGGGCGCACTGACAGAGGCTGCCGGACACTGGCGCCACCGGGCCCTCGTGACCACCACTAGTAGGCAACGGGTGAAGTGTCTTGCCCAAGGACACAACGACCGAGACTGTCCAAGCCGAGGCTCAAACTGGCAACCTTCGGAATACAAGGCGAGCTCCCAACTCTTGAGCCACGATCGCCCCAAACAAGAAGACTCAAACTGTCACCCTCAGTTGAAAGGAAATATATTCAGATGTTCCGGAAAGTCCCAGGCTGCTACCTAACTGGACAATCCAAATGCCTTCTGGTGAAAACTTTTATGGACAGAAGGCACAAAGACATTTGGCCACAATGACAGGTTAGGTATGTTTGGATGCCTAAATGTGAGCACAATGTGTAGGACTACTACTACCTCCACATTATTTAACTTCACTTTAAATCAGCAGGACAATGACCCCAAACACACATTAAGAGAGGTTTTGAATGGATAAAGAAGCTAACATTGAACTTCTTGGATGGCCTTCCCAAAGTCAGGATTAAAAGCTAGGCTTAATCTGGACCATACTAGGAAACCAAACCAATTTAAGTGAACTCTACCTATTTTAACAATAAGATTCTTCAAACATACAGCCAGAATTATCCCAGAAGCTTCTTCATGGTTACTGAAATGGTTGAGGTGCAACTTGCTAAGAGATATTTAACCAAATATTAGTTAGTTAGTTAGTGTGTGTGTGTGTGTGTGTGTGTGTGTGTGTGTGTTCTGTATGTATACTTTTGAGGCTGTGTGGCTTAGAATCCAAAATAAAATGAAACTTGTGCCACCAATAAGTGTTTTTTAAAGTCATTACAGATGCTGTACATTCTTAACCAACCTGGAAAAAGAATGGTCAAAAGTATGGGTAGAACATTGTGCCATCAGAAACTGAATTTGAATAAGTTAAATTCGAATTTGAATTCCTCGGATTGAATCTAAATTGTAACTTGAATTCTTCAAATCCAGTTTCTGGTGGAACAAAGTTCTGCCCATAAAACTTTGCCAAAAGTGCTGACAAAACTGTGGCCAGTTGGGTGTTTAAAAAATTAGAAGAACTTACAGGGATTTTGTTTTCTATTTCACTGAAGAACATATTTTAAAAAGTACTCCCCAAAACATGAATCTGATATTCATATTTCTAGCTGTAGTTCAGGGTAGAAGTAGAAAACGAAAGGAAAAAAAATGTACGAACTGGGACGTTTCTAAACTCGAATGTTTTGTGAGATTAAAGCAAGATAAGTCACTAGGTGCGCAGAACCTCCTGCGAGTCCCTACCCTGGGTAAAACAAGCCCCCATCTTCTGACGTCACAAACACGCGACGGGCCTGCGCTTACAGTCGCTGCAGACGGAGGCAGGAGATGGGTGAGTCGCTGTGCAGAGTGGACGTGTTTTGAACAATAACTCGTAGACTTTATTAGGACAGCTAAAGAGCGGCAGCACACCTCTCCATCGGGGCCGCAGCGTTAGCAGTGGTCCTCTGCCGTCTGGCCTTGTTACTCCTGCAGAGAGCGGGCCAGAGCCAGGCCCAGCGGAGAGTTACCTACATTGTTTTTGTCGGCAGCGCCAGTTAAACAGCTAATGAGGCGCATGTAGTCATTGACAGTCATTGCTCTCACACAGTAAAGCAACAAAACCCGCAGAGTTTCCCCTCTCTTGGTGCTCATATTTGTGAGCTGCTTTCAGGAGCACGGCGTGTAAACGTTAGCTGACTGAATACCAGCTAGCTAACTGCATTATAATAATAATGACTTCCAGGAGGACGGGCTATGCTGGAAGCATGGATTCCTCCTCTCCGTCAAACAGCGGCAGCAGCTCGCTCCACAGTGGGAACCGCAAACAAAGCGCTGTTAGCATCCCCGACAGGATTGAGTCCTGTTACGATCGCAAAGCCGACAAGGGTGGATACGGAGGCTCGCAGGGCAGTGTGACTGTAACGTCGCTCAAATCGCGTCTCGCCCCGACCATCCAAACCGCCATGTCCGCAGCAGTGGACACTCTGCTCGGGGAAGTGGTGCTAGTGCTCAATGAGACTCAGCAGGAGTTGCTGCATAAGGAGCAGGAGAACGAAAGGCTCAAAGTGCGCCTGGAAGTGTCTGAGAGGGAGCTGAAGACCCTGCAGGAGTGCCTGTGCAGTGCTCAGAAGCTCATAGATCAGCTTCAGGTGTCCTACACGGGCCCTCAGTCAATCAGTCAGTCAGTGTTTGCCCCGTCGCTGTCTTCCATGGCTTCCATGACTTTGGACAGGGACCACCAGAACCCCAGAAACGTGAATGGAGCGGGTGTCGACTTGGGTCTTGGTGGCTCTGTGGATGAGTCACTTCATGGGTTTGAACCAAGAGATGAGTACAAAATGTGCCAGCTTTCAATCCAGCCAGATGGGTCTGTGACCAACCACGCTCTGGACTCCTTCACATCCAATGCATCTCATATGTGCTCCGATTCTGGCCGACCAGGTGAGTGTGGAGTGTGGAGCTTTTGCAAAGATTGATGGCTGTGTTCAAACATGGTAATGATGTACATGTTTTATTTTTGTTTATAGACGAGAGGCAGTCTCAGGGACCTGGTGGAGCGTCCAGATTTGAGATTAAAGAGGAGCAGGGACCAGCTTCAGGCTCCACTCAACCCAACAGGAAGGACAGCATAGCGACGGGGGACGGAGAACGGTCGTCACATAACGTGGGAGATCTTGGCTACGGTCAAGTTGGAGGAGAGGCAGGTTCCCAGCGATCTTTCCCTCACCCACTGCGTCACCAAAGACCCATGCGTGAATGCAGTAGTGCCTTGGGCGGACTTAATGGACAGAAACAGTTAGCTAGGACTCCTGGAGCAGGAAGAGGTGACAGCGCTTCATCGGGCGGAGCTGATGACTCTGCAGGACCATCAGCTCCTGACACGGCGGTGGTCGAGCCCCCGGGAGATCGGCCTCACCACTGCTTGGAGTGCGGAAAGACCTTCCGTCTGATCTCCAGCTTGAAGAAGCACATCCGCATCCACACAGGCGAGAAGCCATACCCGTGTGGAGTCTGCGGCCGTCGGTTCCGCGAGTCAGGGGCGCTTAAAACCCACCTGCGCATACACACGGGGGAGAAGCCGTACTCTTGCTCAGAGTGCGGAAATTGCTTCCGCCACCTGGATGGTCTGCGTAAACATCGGCGCACCCACACGGGGGAGAAGCCCTACGTGTGTGCCATCTGCGGGAAGCGGCTCAGTCGCCTGCAGCACCTGAAACACCACCAGCTGATCCACACCGGAGAGAGGCCGTGCTGCTGCCCTTTCTGCAACCGCACTTTCAAAGAGCCTGCGGCTCTGCGGAAACACATCCGCACGCACCGCGAGGAAGGCGGTCACATGGGAATCGGCACCAATGAAGACGCCGACCCAGATGCCATGGACGACATTAATAACCTCCATCCAGCAGCTCCGTCTCCGCAGATGAGGTTTGGGGAGTGGGGAGCTGAGGAGGATGACAGCTCAGTTGTAGACTGTGTCTAGGTGGAGGTTAAAGAGGTGCCTCGCTGTTGGTGTTTTTAAAAAAGCACAGACTGATGTGTTTGTGTAGTTTGATGGACCACGAGGTCACCTTCACTCTGCGGTGTTAGGGTGATGAACCAGGCTACATATAACCAGAGCCTTGGAGCTTAGTTTGTCCAAGATATTAAAGTGTTACACTTTTAGATGTGAAGCTTAGTTTTAAATTACCACGGTACATTCTTCAGCAGCAGCTGTTCTTTCATACAGATGTTTATGGAGCAGTGCAGGTAGTGTACAGATTCCGGGAAGTTGCTGGATTGCAAACTTTCTGGCAGTAATTTGGGAAATTTATTGCAGATGTGGGCACAAGCCAAAAAATGTAAAAAAAAAAAAAGGAAGAATATTTAAAAAAAACAACAAAAATCTTCGGAGCTGGGCATGAATTTATAAAACACTCACAATAATGAAGGCATCCTTACTGTTACAGAAAAAGGATTTGGTAACAGCATATTTAGTTTGTAGGTTTTTATTTTGTTTTTTTAAAATCATAATAAATTGATCAGGTTTGGGCATTTATAATCACATCTATGAAACTGACCAATGTCTAATGTGGGCGAATTTCCCTCAGCTGAAGTACCAGATAAAGGCCTTTACACACCAAGCACATTGTGGAAAAATGTCACAAAAATCAGAATTTATTTTGGATGCAAATTTGTCATGTAACGTCAAATCGACATCAAGAAGAAGAAACAATGATTCTGATTTTCTCCAGTTCTCACAAGCTGGTTTAATCCAGGAGTTGAAGCTGTATCACGGCAGCTTTCGTACATTTAAGAACATTTAACACCTGAGGAGGCAGAGAAACCATTTCAGTGAGCAGATTGACCCGGAGCAGAGTCTAGTTGTGTGTCTGACGTAAAATAATATTATTTTCCTGTTTCCATATAATTGTATGTTCAGCACCGGTGTGCGCTTTGAGCACACTTGTTGGAAAACGCAGTAATCTGATTGGTCAGCTCTGTTTATGCACATGCGAAAAATTAGAAAAAAATCATACCTGGTTGGTATGAATGGCTGCATTAAGAACGAGCGAGGCTGCACAAAATATTTGTGTGAATTTTACATGTTTAATGTATAAAGGCCTTAACACTCAACTTTCAAATTGCGTAAACTATGATGGCTTTATAGCCAAGGTAGTCCAAGATGGTCTCCTTTCATGGTATATTAATATCTTCCCACCTCTGCTCCTTTCATCTTTGATGCTCATGCTTTATTTAATGCCAGATTTATATGCACAAGCTGTTTCAGTGGTCACGGATCACAATCGGTCCAGTCCACCAACTTTTATCCTGATTTCTTTTATGAAGGTGCTAGGGCTCATGTTCTTGGTAACATTGTTAGTAATATGCCTTCTGAGATACAGTCACCAGGAGGTTGAGCGGGCCATCCACTAATCAGAAAGTTGATGGTTTAATGTCCGGCTGCTCCAGTGTGCACGCCAAAGCATCCCTGGGCAAAACGGCTCATCAGAGTTTGAATGTGAGTGAATGAAGCATCTGATTTCTTTCACTGACAACTTCAGTAAAACCCCAGGTAGATACTTTATTGCCCTCTATAGGTGGAAACGGTAACATTTTAATCTAAAATATGCTGCTTTAAAAAACGACAACAGTATGCTTGTTTTTATTACACCACTGCTGTCAATGCTGTTTCCTTTTTATAATGAAAGGCTGTAGCAATGCCATATAAAACACTAACAGACCAAAAGCTAAAGTGTAATTTCAGCTATATTTGTGTGTGTGTGTGTGTGTGTGTGTGTGTGTGTGAGATGAATCGTGAGCCAAATTTCAGTCAGCCATCACCCCTCTCTCTCTCAGCCAGTTCTCCTCTCTTATCTCTTCCCGTCACTGTGCAGAGCCCTCATCGGTCCACAATTGTTATGTTATCAAACGGAAATTATCTGTGTCGAAGACATCCTGTTTTGAAGAAATCACTCAGTGCATTTATTTGTTTATCAAATCATACAGGACTAGTTGAAGGCAATTAGCTGGCATCTTTATGCACCACATCAGGAGCTCAAACACTCTCCTATTCTCTCTTCTCGCTAAATAACGTCTCCCCGTGGACCTCAGTTTAGCATTCCATTTTTATTTTATTCTTTTTGTTTTGTTTTTTCACGCTGCTACTGTATGTCTGGTGAGATTTTCTTTTTCTGGACTTGTATCATTGTTACTAGGCAGTCGCTAGCAGACAGGCGTTGGTGCTTGCATGTGCATATCTGTTCCTCCGCTGGCAACAATGCCTCTCAGCTGTTTGTGTATATAAGAATGTAGTTAGAGCATTTTTATTCGGTTTAGTAAGGGTTGTGCTTAAGTTGTCGTGCAACAGTTTTGTTTTGTTTTTTAAAGGAAACACACATTGTGCTGAAAGCAGCAGTATACTAACATACCATGTAAATGTATGTAACCCAGTTACATTTGTTCCTGATGCTACAGCGCACCAGGCGTTAACAGCAGAGCATTAATCTTCTCAGCCCTTTGAGCTAAACTGTGTGGTGTTATTTAACATGTGTACTACTATAACGACCTCCATGTAACTATTCTATGTACAAGTCATTTTAAAGTGACACTAAAAGTGTTAAATATTTGTCACTGTGTATACCAAGAAGGTAGTCTTTGCCCCAGATAAGCATATTTATTGTTTTTTGTATTACACATGGGTGGGTTTGAGGGGTGGGGGGGACCTTTGCATGTAGGCTTGAACAGAAATGGCATTATTCCCTAAGAAGTCAGTGTTTAAATGTGAAATGAATTACTTTTTTATGCTTATTTGTTCACCCACTTCACATTCATACTGTACATGTTACTATATTAAAGGGCCTTGTTTATAATTGTTTTTTCTCTCTGGTGTTTTGTTTTGTTTTTGGGGTTTTTTAGGGGGAAAAGGGGAAAAAGTTGCTTTAAAGCCAAAACGCACCCAGATAATTTATATCGTGCATAGGTAGTAAATAATCTGTGAGCTCGATCAGCCGCCTAACTGCTCACTCTGAGCCATGTAAAGCTGCCATTTCATCTTGTTTCATTTTATTGTTTCGTCGTATTGTGGCAGGAAAAACCGCATTAAGCCTGGGGGGAGAGTTTCCACACTGCCTGAAACGCTGCCAGAATAGATTGTGTAGGTGGTGTGGTCACACCCAGACACAGATCCCAAATAACACTTTGCTCTCCTTGCAGTGCTGAGTAATGACATCTGTGTTCAAAAACACCAAACTGCTGTTTAAGGTATAAGTTAGCCTTTGGTACGATTACAGAAACTTAACAGGTTAGATGGACCTGAAAAAAATGAGAATGCTTTCCTCCATAACATTGTTGGCTACACTATAAGACTTAAAACTCTTTTCTTTTTGTAATATTTGCCATAAAACAGATCGAGGTCCCTCCTGGTTATATCCCCTCCAGAGGAGGTCACGCTCATCAAGGTTCATAGCACATAAATGTGTTGATTCGTAAGCGTAAATTGAATATGTCTTGATATAATTAGCAGTCATAGCTCCCAGAACGCATTTGCATAAAATACTGCTAAAGACATGTTTGGGATTGTCCAAAATATTTGGGACGTCTCATGCAAACATTATCCATTCAAAGCTGGATGAGCCTTTAACACAGAGAAAGGATAGTTAATGCTGTGATACAGTTCCAATCAAAGAACTGTACTTTCTGGTATACACTCACCAGCTATTGTAAGTGCACCTGTTCAGCTGCTTGTTAATGCAAATGTCTAATCTGCCAATCACATAGCAGCAATTCAGTTAAATTAGACATGTAGACTTTGGTAACCTCAGTCTTTCTCTGAACGTGCTCCTGTGACTGACCAGTATGTCGTGGAGTGGGTGGGAGGTGTTATCCAACATTGTCTTTATCTTGGACAACATCCGCCTCTCCAACACCACCTTAAGGGAGTCCAGCTCCATCCCCACAACATTACTGGCCTTACGGATCAGTTTATTGAGTCTGTTGGCATCTTCGACCCTCAGCCTGCCCCCCCCCCCAACCCAGTATGCAACGCCGTAGAGGATCGCACTGGCCACAACAGACTCGTAGAAAATCCTGAGCATTGTCCGGCAGATGTTGGAGCACCTCAGTCGCCTCAAAAAATAGAGACGACTCTGGCCCTTCCTGTAAAGTGCTGTGGTGTCTTTAGCCCAGTCCAGTTTATTGTCAATGTATACACCGAGGTATTTATAGTCCTCAACAATGTCAGCATTGACCCCCTGGATTGAAACAGGGGTCAAGTGTTTCCTGGTCTTCCTGAAGTCCACGATCAATTCCTTGGTCTTTGCCACGTTGAGTTGCAGATGATTCTGCTCACACCACGTGACAAAGGAGTCAACCACAGATAGGAAGGTAACAGCTACTTAAATAATCACTGGTCACAATCAGTGTGCAGAAGAGCATCTGAACACACAACACATAAAACCTTAAAGGAGATTTGTTACAGCAGCAGCAGAAGAAGACCACACTGGGTCAAAGAATGTGGGCTCCCCAAAATTGAATAATACAAGATTAGAAAAAAGGTTACCTGCTGATGAGTGTTGATGGTAGGGGTTCAGCATCGATCCACCCTGCTGTGCATCAGTAGTTCGGGCTGCTGCTGGAAGTGTAATGGTGTGCGGGATATTTTTCTGGCACAATCTGGGCCTCTTATGACCAATGAGCATCATTTAAACAGCCACAGTGTACCCATCTTCTGATGGCTGTTACCAGCAGGATAACACATCATGTCACAAAGCTCAGATAATCTCAAACTAGTTACTTGAACATGACAGTGAGTTTGCTATACTCACAAAGCCTCTACAGCCACCAGATCTACACCTAACGGAGCACCTTTGGGACGTGTTGGACCAGGAGATCCACATGCCGGATGTGCAGCCCAAAAATCTGCACCAACTGTGTTATACTATCACGTCAATATGGACGAAATTCTCTGAGAAATGCTTCCAGCACCTTGTTGTATCTGTTTGGTCACAAATAAATAAAATGGACAAAGAGAAATTTCAACGTGCAGTAGATAAAAAAGTTGCAGGATCACTAAACCTACTACAATCAATTGTCTGGTGGAACAATAGCTAGTGTGATGAGTTTTATGGCAAGTGGTCTAAAAACTAATCTCCCAGGACAAGTTTTCGCAGTGATTCCTCAAAATGCACCATTGGGTTCAATTTGTGCAGTTGTGGGTTTGTTTTAGTCCAGTTTGGAAAAGAAACTATACATTTTAACCTTGTAAAGGATAAACAGTCATAATCACTGACAAAATCCAGAGTACAAATTGTGTTGATACACAGTCTAATCTGCTCCTAAGAAAAACCGTATATAGTTCATGTAGTGTAAATCATGCCAATATGCTTCACAGGCTTGATCCAAAAAAAAAAAAGACTCTTTGTGCACGGCACCGAAACTAATTTCTTCTTACTGTTCTGTAGAGAAAACTCCACCTGGAGCCAACGTGCCCTTTGGACGTCTTTGTTTAAACCACTGGGCAAGTGATCCAGCAGAGGCTGCCATAGATCCATTAAGCTGTTGTCATTGCTCCTGAGTGTTCACTGAGATTCTCTCGTGGCCAAACCTGATAAAACTTCCAACGCCGCTGAGTGTAGTCTGAGGTTCCTCGTGATCGCTTTAAAAATTTGGCATTGTCTGTGGAAATGGCTCTGATTGTTTCCATAGAGAAACACGAGCTGCTGTAGAAATAAAGACGCAGTCTAATATGTTAACTATCTCACTGCACTTTGTGTGTTGATTAACTTAGAGGCCCGGGACACATTGAGCAGAAGGGTTTATTATTGTTCGGGGCACTCTGCTCTAAGTAGTCTTTGCTTTAGTCGCTCACATTCTTCATCTTTTGGATGTTGCGTTGCTGCTTTTATCCAAGTAAAGGATTGAATTTCCATCTTCAGCTCTGTTTACACACAGATTGTGTAATAAGGTTGCTTATTTGTCCGTGCTGTCTGTTATTATTGTCTGCTTGTCAGAGAATATCACCAGGGTTTCAGTTTTCAGATGGGAAGTAATTATATTGTACTAACAATAAGGATGGTTCTTGTCTGACCTGCAGTGTATTTTCATTCTGTGTGTGCGTGCATGTGTGCACGTGTGTGTGTCTTGGCAGTCGGTGACCTTATGATGGTGAGCAGCAGAGGCTCACAGACATGTGAGAACGGCTCGTGAACTCTCTGTAGGCTCATGCAGTCATTTCCTCAGCGACTAAAAGTAAACACATTCACTTTTTTTGGAGAGGAAGTGACTCAGCTTGCTTTCTTCCCCTCCCTTTGTCTGTTTCTCACTTTCACCCATTGCTCACATGACCCCCAGACACTGACTAGCCCCCGTGCTGCACCTTCATATATTTTTTTTTTTTTACTTTTTGAAGTGTGATTAATCAGCACGCTCGTTCGTCCCAGGCGAGAGTCGCAGCTGAACTTATCATGCATTAAGTGTTTAGGCAGGTCTCAGCGCTGCAGACTGTGTGGTGTCACGTTGGCCGTCTGACTTTAATCTGTTTCAGTCGGCGTGGGCGGCTGCGAGATTGAGCGCTATTTATCTGCACACCGAGGGCAAGAATGGAAAACTGGAATTTGTTGCAGTTGTTGCAAAAACCTCAGCAGCTAATAGATGCTTTTATAACCCCAGACTGTAAAAGCATCTATTAGCTGCGGAGCCAACAAATTTAAATGCTGAAAGTAAGAAAGGTGTTTTCTGAAAAGTGTATGCTCAGTTTTGATTTGATGCCAGGTCGCATCACCTCTTCTATTAACAGCACTCTGTAAGCATTTGGAAACAGAGGAGACCCATTGCTGTCATTTTGAAAGTGGAAGGTTTTACCATCATAGATAGGCCAGGACTGCAGGTAGGCCAGCATTTAGACCAGGTGTCAAACCTAAGGCCTCATATCAGCCTGCCAAAGACTGTCATTTTACACTCCAGCCCACTGGACAGAAAACGCTGGCTAATTCTGGTCCTTATGTTTCAAACCCCTGGTGAACTCTTCTTAAAAGACAATGCTGTTGGAATACACACACAATGGCTGTAAGCATGTATATAGCATGTATATGTCATTCAGCACCAGTGGTCCTTGGGATACTGGCTTTTCAGCTGTACCGTGCTTCTGGACATCCTTACGGCTATTTAAATATCTGAGCTGTGAAATATAAAGAAGCTCATCACACAATACAAGAAATATTAGACTGCTTGTAAAATCTTGAAGAAATCCACATGACTGATATTTTTTAGCTTCAAGTGAAAAGCAAAATATTCAAATAAAATGACTGATGTAGTGCAGTGACACACTGCGGCATAATGACATGTTATGATCAGTGTATGCACACTGGCTAATATTTTTACAGACATAGAGAGGAACCTCGGAGAGGCCAGTGCATTTTCACGCACTAGAATCTCACGAACACGGAGTGAATTATTAGCCTGTGTCCATGTTTTGTTTTATTTTTTCTATTTGAGAGTGACACGCACAGCTGTGCAGCTGTGATTTGTCTGTGCGGGGGCAATAGAGCAGAGGAGGGCTGTTAGAGGAGAAATAACCAACAAGGAAACCACTTTCAGCTTTGCTCCTGCACCGCCTGGCTGGCCTCCGGCCAAGTTCTCCAGAGAGGGCTGGCTCACCCCTTCTCCTCCTCTCCTCCCTCTCTTCTTTCTCTTCCAAACCCACATACGCACTCCTCTCCAGCCCTCCAAAGCAACAGGCGAGAAGAAGGAAGAGCGACGAAAGCAAAAGAGCAACTCCTGCAACTTTTTGGAACGAGCGCAACTAGGAGAAGCTTCCGAGGATGCCAAACGCGTCGGTTTTGCAGATGGATCACATGGGTACGCGAGGGAACTGATTTTATTTTTCCCAAAGAAGAAAACAGGAGGGAGGACACACGTTTTTGTTTTTTTTCTTCCACCGTATGAGACGTCAAAAGTTTCCCTCTGTGTTAACAAAGCAGGCGCCTTTGAGCTGGAGCTGAAACCCTCGGCTTGTGATTAAATGTCCCGGGGTCTCTGTGGAGGGCAGTGAAAGGATGCCAGGATGCCCTCTCTGATCTCCCATCTGCTTGTCATCTGGCTGAGCGTCCACAGGCTGGTGTGGTGCACGGAGCGCTCCTCCACACGCGAGCGCTTCAAGGTGGTCATCGCTCCTCTCATCTGCAAGCGGGTCTGCCTGAAGGGGCAGTGCCAGGATACCTGCGAGCAGGGCAACAACACCACCCTGATCGCGGAGAACGGGCAGGGGGCCGACACGCTCACCGGACCGGGCTTCAGGGTCGGTAAGTGACGGAGGCAGTTTCTTATGAGGGCTGGGGGCGATTAAATAGACCCCCTGCGATTGAGAGCCCTGTCCTGACCCCAGGCTTTTACGTTGTGGTTATCCCTGTTGTGCCAAAAAAGGATTTCCGGTAATTGCAAAAAGAAATGATCGCGATTATTTAAACGATTATAAATGACTCCTTGGCCTTCAATCTGTCAAAAATATGCCAAACACATCTAATATCATGACTGATGTCCTGCCATTTAAAGCCAGAAGGAACATTTCTGTCACAAGGCGAAGCTGGAGGGTTTTTGGCAAAGTGACTTTTATATATTCTTTATTTATGCAGATAAAAAACAATCTTCATAAGGGATCTGGCCAACAGGACAGCATAAACTGTAACAAATATAACATTACAATTTTATAGGCATACTTTAAGTTTCCCCAGCATCATGTTGCCCTCCATCTTTTTACCAAAATAAGTAAAGAGATTAGACATAAGAAACAAGGAGAAACCATGGAAATCACTTTTTGGCACATCGCCCCCGTAGAGAGGTGAGGGAGGCCTGTTTGTTTGCTTAAAAACTGACTTTCTTA